GAGACAAGTTGTCTGTTGGGATTACAACTCCCAGATTGCCTCAAACAGCAGGGCTCAAGTATTGAATTTGCTGGAGTAGCAAAGGGCTTCAATCCCAACATGAACAGTGAAACTGGCCCTTCTCATGAGGGCTGGAGTGACCAAGCCCAAAAAAGAGGAGACCACTGGATGAAGCCAAAGGGTGAGTCCTGAAAGGGTGAAGCTAAGCCAACCGTCTGACAAATTAGGTTCTGAGAAAAGAGGCCGAGTAGAGGTGGACTGAGGATAAAATCAAGATTGAGCCAATAAAAACAAGGGACGTCCAGGGCAGAAGCTAAGATGGTTGGGCGGTCAGGTATGAAAGAAAGACATCATGGCTACTTTGGTGGAGTTGGAGATGTTTCTGGCTGTGTGATCCTTGGAGTTGTCATGCATTTCCCATCTCTCAGTGGAAGATGGATTTCAGTAGATACCACACCACGCAAACCACACACAGAGATTAGCACCTGGTATTACCTGAATCAGAACAGAACCCTGTTGTGTAGACCAAGCACCTATTGGGTGGTTGGTACACTGGATGCCCCAGGAACTTGGAAACCAGCCAGTATTATGTGCTTCTCCACCATCCAGACAAAATAATGTGGAAAGTATATTGGCAACATGTCTCTCTCCTTGTGAAAAAACTTAAGACCAGCTAGTCACAAGGTGAAGGTTTGTAGCTGGCGCTCAGCACTGTAAGGAAGATATGACAATTCTGTGCCACAAATCATCTCTTGCTTTTAGGGACAGCTCATGACCAGGCTCGGGGAGTGTCCGCCAAAATTGTGTGATTCGGTGCCTGCCTGTCTTAGCAAAACTGGCACAGATATCTCCGGATGGAGAAAGGTGAGCAGAAGGCAGCCCCCCAGATGCTGTTGAGCTACAATTCCCATCAGCCAGTGACCAAAAATGCTGGGAATTGCACTTGAACATCTGGAGGGCCTCGCTTTTGACATCTTTTCATAAAATAACATAACCAAGGAACGCAAGACCTGAGGAGCTACTACTACGCCTACTACTATGGAGTTAAGAAGTGAGTTGATGATCCCGTTCTGTTTTCAAAGGAATCAAGAAAAGAGCTTGCAGGTTCTAAAAACTTGTGCACCTTCTCTCAAGAGACTGGGGTTACCACCAGAGGGTTTTAGGGCATTGCTTTTACTTCAGTCGTGGCATAAATACAAGACTTCCTACGATGCAGTCAAATGGTTACCATACAACACTTCATTAGTAGCCATGCTTCAGGTTTCGAGGACCTGAAGAAAAGATGGATACACTTCTCTGCATTTCATTTGCTGCCCTGACCATCTGTTGCACTGCCCGTTAGACCTTTCTGGAACTATCTCATGCAATGGCAAACAGGGATCACGCAGACTGCTAGGGCTGCACATGGGCATCAATGCCTCTGATTTCCAACAGATTTCTTACGGGTGCTACAGATAAGGTAGAACCTGTCCCTACCAAAAAATAGGTGGCCTGGCCTCCACTGAGATACACCAAAAATGAGTTTCTACCTATTAAGCACAAAGGGTGTAGCAACTTATGGGACCCATCAGCGTTAGCCTAGTAGACGACTTCATTTAGACCTTGACTCCTTTATCAGTTAACACTCGCAACAAATAGTGAGAAGGATCTACAGGAACCATCAGTGGCTCCAACCACCGCTCCTGCTGTTTTTTAAAAACCAAACTATGGGCTAAATCCTATAACCCTTTTCAAAACATGTTATGGGTTTAAGCCAAAATGAGCGGCCCCACTGAGTCAATAGGATTTACACGTCTTGATTTAAGAAGTCTCATTTCAATACTTGAAAGGTAGTCCTACAGAGGAGGGGCAGGATCTGTCCCCAGTCTTCCCAGAGTGCAGGAGACATAAAAATGGGCTCAAGCTATAGGAAGCCAGATTTAGGCGGAAGATCAAGAAAAAAAAGTCTTAACTGTTAGAGCGGTACAACAATGGAAACCACGACCTCAGGAGGTGATGAGCGCTCCAACGCTGGAAGCCATTCAAGAGAAAATTAGAAAACCCTCTGTCAAATCTGCTTTCATTTGGATTCCTGCCTTGAGCAGGGCGTTGGACTTGTTGGCCTTATCGGCCCCTTCCAACTCAATGATTTTGTGATTCTATGATCCTACAGGCCTATTGTAATCAGGAATTACACTTAGATTTTTCCCCCACTTCCCAGCCTATAATTCTGGGTACATATCCTCACCTTTAACATATTTGTGATGTGTCTGGGACTGATCTTTCAGTAGCCAGTCTCCTTTCACTATTTCAAAAAGCGGATTTCATGCTTTCCAGATCTCACCCACCAAGAAGTGTAACTAACATACATACACACATACATAATTCTGCTAAAGCTACAGGGCAAGATTCATCTGGATTCCCTCTCTGTTTTCCTTTAAAGACAAATTTCTTTCTTTGGGAATACATTTTTTTTTCTAGCTGGGTATGGTTTGAAAGCCTGGGGTTTTGGCATTTGGTTGGGAACGCAAATGTTCAGGAAGAAATGAAGGGGTGGAAAAAGCCCTTCGTCTCTATGAAGAAATGACACTTTCCCTTCAAAATTAAACCACAGCCCAGGGCAGGAGGAAAAAGCGCTTTCTGTGCATTCATTCAAATGGAAGGCAGGTCTTTAGAGATTCTAAGCAGAGTGGCTGGGTTTTAAGAGCATGCCAAGTCACATTGTAGACTTTATACCAATTTCATGCAGCAACTTTTCACCGCCACAAATGTGGCCGGGCGCCCTAGTCTGTGCCCCCTCCAGCTTTTGATTTTTAAGCAGAGGGACAAGGTTCGCCCACATCTGCCTTCTTTCAGCCTTTGTCTCTGTTTTGGGCTCACTGACCATCTTATGATGGGTGTGATCCCCGAAACTAAGCATGAAAGAGAGAGGTGACATCATCCTAAGAAGCCTTGCAATATTCCTGGGGACTCACCGCCTGTCCTGTCCTTTAAAATCTGGGCTCACCCCTCTGAGCTGCACAATTGTTTTTTTTTTTTTAAGAGAACGATTTGGAAAAGCATTAGGGAATCTAGAGTGTTGCCATTTGGTTATCAATGGCTCGTCTTTATGAGTCGCTGTTGGCCAAGACGCCCAATGTGGCAGAAGAGATGTTGGAAGTTTTGTAGCTGGACGGAGGTTAAGGCATCCAATTCCTACTCGGACACCCACTATCTTTGGGTGGCCCTGCATCTTCTGGTCATCTCCCAACCCTGACGTACCCTGCCAAGTGATGAAGGCTCAAGAAAAGCTCATGCATGCTCCTATAACTCCTAGCAACAGTGGCAGTGACCACTGGGGTACATTTCTGCTTCTGTATTTAGACGTATGACTACTTCATTTCATCTCAGAGCATCATTTTTGACATGCCATTGTTGTTGTTGCTGATATTATTGTTAATTATTACTATTTTAACGCGACTCCAAGAAAGCTCCACCCAGCCTGACTGTTGGGAGCGCCAGCCCCAAAAGTAACTTTTCCTAGCTCTGATGCATCACTCTCATGGAACGCTGTTGGAACAAATGGGCGGCCCTCGATTTCGAGACAGAATCCTAGAAACAAACTTGGTGGTTCTGATATTGTTTTCTTGGGTTGCTCATTGAGAAGATGACACACTCAACAGATGCAAACTTGGCATTCCCCCAATTCAAACAAATGCTTGAATTCACTTGAAATCACTTACTGGATTTACCGAGATTCTTCTTCTCTCTTTGCTCTCCAGTGTAAATGTATGGATCTTGGGGGCTGAGACCTTTTTAGGACTTCCCTGATCATCGTGCAACATGCTAAAGTCTGAGGGTGTGACATCCATCAGCCAATCAATTATCATAACTTTACAAGGGGGAGGAAAAAGATAACAGAATCAACTTTTGCTAGAGAATAGCACCTTCCAAAATCAATTTACCACTGGGATAACAGAATCACAGAACAATGGAGTTGGAAGGGTCCTATAAGGCCATCATGTCCTACCCCCTGCTCAAGGCAGAAATCCAAGTCAAAGCAATTCTGACTGTTGCTTGTCCAGCTTTCTCTTGAATGCTTACACTGCTGGAGTGTTCACCACCTCCTGAGGTCCTGGGTTCCATTGTCATACTGCTCTAACAGTTAAGAAGCTTTTCCTGATAGTCAGCCAAAATCTGACTTCCTGTAGCTTGAGCCCATTATGACGTGCCTTGCACTCTGGGATGAATGGGAACAGATCCTGACCCTCCTCTGTATGACAGGCTTTCAGGCATTTGAAAAGTGATATCAAATCTCCCTTCGCTTTCAGGTATTTGAAAAGTGATATCAAATCTCCCTTCAGTCTTCTTTTATCCAGTTCTTTCCATCTTTCCTCATAGGGCTCAGTTTCCAGTCCCCCGATCATCCTTGTTGCCCTTCTAAAGATCACCTGTCTTTAGCTAACATGCTTGAGTAAGAAGTGCAAGCTATAAACCCAACCTCATTTATGACATGTATACAAGCCCTGATTTCATTAAACTCAGAAAGCCATTTTTTTAAAAAAAATCATTATTTCTCCTGACTGTACCAGTTCTTGCTTCCCCAGAAGTGTCAACGAAAACAGTTTGAGGGAAAGTCTCCGCATGCACGTGGCAGCGATCGGCAGCCTGTTCTGATTTACCTGACACCAGAGAACTTTCTCCTGTTGCAAAAACGGAGTACTTGTGAGAGTGAGCAGCTGGAGAAAAATGGGATTAAAATCGAAACCCTGTTTCAGCAATCACGCTCTTCATTTGGGGGCTCAAAGTAGGAGTGTATTAATCACTTAACTTAGCATCCTGCAGTCAACAACACACCGAAACAAAATTCTATATCCAGGAACCCACTGGGATATTAAGAAGAAATCTCACAGCCTTCCAAGCATCAAGCATTCAAGAAGTCTATTCGCTTTGAACCCCATGAAAAAGCCATTAAGCCACTAATGAATGAGAACTTTTCTTAAAAAGCACATCGAAGCCAAGGAAAAAAAGAATCACCTTACCTTTAACAATTCAGTGCTTCAAGAAGTTAAGTCCCATACACCTAGGAGAGCAGTACAATTCTTGTACGTTTGTGTGTGTTTGTGTGTGTGTGTGTTTGTGTTTTAGGAGAGGTTGCAACTTCTGGATTCTCTGTAGTTCTCCTTCACAGCCTCCAGCCCAGATGGAGATTTCCTGCCTTTGTCGTGTGGGTGTTGATGCCTCTTTCTTTGGCTGACGCCCCCCACCCGCCCCAAGAAGAAATCAAAATTCTTGGTATGGGTAGATCAGGTACGGCTCAGCAAGAGTAGCAGCAGCAGCAGGGTTGATTTGGGAAGGAACGCAAACCCAAAGAGAGAGAGAGAGAAAAAAAAGGGAGAGAGTTTTAAGCAACAGTCCACGTTGGGCTGCTACCGGCTCAGTGGAGGAAAAAGACTTTTGAGTTCCTCTTGTCCTTCTTTAGGTACCTCTTGCTATAGCTGGCAGATTACTCAGGACATTCGACCGTCCTATGAAAGTTTGAGTCAAAAGCAGGCAGGAATCCAGGAAAAATAAGACATGGGGTGGGGGGAGTAAAGTGGGAGGTAGAAATAGGAGGGCTGGAGTGAGCAAAGAGATGCCAGAACTCTTGGGGGTGGGGGGTGGAAAAAAAAAGACAGACTAAAACTCCTAAATAAGAGTTTTGTTGTGTGTGTGTGTTTTTTTAAAAAGGAGTTTTACACACCCACATATATATATATATATATACACACACACACACCCTATCGGGAGAGAAATTCATCCATCTGTGCTCAACACGTTGATGAAAGAAAAGGATGGTGCAGAGAATGAGGTTGAAAACTGAACGGTGGCTTGGATTGCTTGTTTGTTTTTGTTTGTTTTGTTTTGAAGTCCAGACACATCTAATTAAAACTGAGGGGAAAAGCTGGATGAGAGAGAGAGAGAGAGAGAGAGAGAGAGAGAGAGAGAGAGAAGGAGGTTGCCTGCAATGCAGTCAATAATGCTGCAGGCTGGCGAAGAGCTGTCTGAATAAATATCGGGAGCATCGGAGATAAGGGATCACCCAGAAGGTGTGAGGAGGACAATAGGAAGTTTGGAGAAATCCGGACGTGACCGGACTCCGGGTTGTACCAGCAGATGAGACAGTGAGGGACCTGAGAGGACCGCCTGCATTGCACAGAGGGATTGCTCTTGGCGCATTCCCTACAAAGAAGAAGGGGACTCTCCTCTCCTCCACAGAAACAAAAGATGTTCAGAGGATGCATCTTTGCATATCCTAATGGATACGTATGAATATACATTTAAAAGTAATTAATCACCATCCTCACCCTGTGCCGTCAAGTTAATTCTGACTGATGCCAACCCTTTGGCAAGGTTTCCCAGCTGGAGAATATTATTCAGAAGCAGTTTTCCGATCTTTTCCCTGAGACTGTGCAGCTGGCCCCACAGGCTGGTTCTACTCACAGGAGGCACAACGGGGGAATCAAACTGCCAACCTTTCGCTCCATAGCCAGAGACGGGGGAATCGAGCTGCCAACCTTTCGCTCCATAGCCAGAGACCTAACTCACTGAGCTATCCAGCCAGCTAATTCTGACGTATGGACAACCCTTTTTTCAGGGGTTTCCCAGGTAGAGAGTACAAGAACCATTTTTTCCATTCCCTTCCTCTAGGGGGAGCGTTTTCAGGGTTTTCCAGGTAGAGTACAAGAACCGGTTTTTCCATTCCCTGCCTCTAGGGGGAGCCCTAGGACTGCGCAGCTTGCCCAAGGCCACCCAGGCTGGCTCTGCTCATAAGAGGCACATTGGGGAATCGAACTCCCAACCTACTGTCATTACCATCATTTAAACTGTAATTTAACACATCTCACTATACTGGGGAAAGACAATGAGCACTGTCATTACCATCATTTAAAGTGGAATTTAACCCATCTCACTATACTGGGGAAAGACAATGAGCAGGCGACAACCCAATCTGCAAAACGAACTGTTCCGGGCTTCCGTTCTATGATATATATTTTTTTGGCGAGTACCCTGTTATGTTACATGATCACAGATGAGTGATTAAATAAACATCCCTGTGCTATGATAGGCTCCCCAGTGCCCCTCTGATTTTTGAGCCTGCTTCTGTGCCCCATTGAGTGATGGTTGTGCAATAGGAGGGCAGCTGGAGCAGGAAAAGACTTACTTGATTCTTTCTCTCTCTCTCTTTTTAAAATATATTCACTTATCTGCTAAAAGACAGTGCCCCAGGCAGCATACAAAGCTTTTCAGAAGAGAGAAAATCAAATGTTTTGGTAAAACCTTAATAAAAATAATATAAACCCGCCCCACCCTAAAACTGTAAAAAAAATCAAACCTAGGGTCATCCGAAGGGGATACTGCCTTTCAGCTACTGTATAAACTGGACTGGTGTTTCGAAGAGAAGGCCACCCAAAGTGCTATCATGATTTCTTAAAATCAAATTGTCGCTTCCATTTTGTTGCATTATTCACCGGCAGTGTTCACAAATTTGTCATGAATGGTGATTTTTCAGGTCACTTCCAACTTCCGTTGACCCAAACAGGGTTCTGGAGGTGCATGGGGAGGTAAAAGGGTTCTTTCTCATGGCCATCTAAGAGGGTTTCCGTGGCCAAGTGGCTTTAGAAAGGGACTAGACGTCTTCTTCATTAAGGGTGAGACATTTAATCACTGGTTATGATGATGTCTATTGTGGACCAACATGAATTTGACCCAACTCCGGGAGGCAGTGGAAGACAGGAGGGCCTGGCGTGCTCTGGTCCTTGGGGTCATGAAGAGTCAGACATGACTTAACGACTAAACAACAGCAATTGTGGATCCTCCAAGTTCAGAAGACGTATGACTTCAGATGTAGTTGCTAAGATGTCAGAGGGTGGTTTCAGAGCTCAGAAAAGTTTATGTTGGAGACTATCACTTCCATAATCCCCCAGCAAGCATAGTCTCTGGTGAGGTGATTTCCAGATGCTGATGCAAACTGTTAGATCAAACCACCTTAGGAACAGAAGTGGTTTCCTAAAGGTGGTCCTTGGGGCGGCGGGTGAGTGGGAGCAAATATACGAAGCTTCTAGAAGTGGTAGTCCCCCCCCCCCATTCATCTTTCTGGGCATGTGGGTACTCCCGGGGAAAAACTGCTTGGTGGGCACAAAAAGCCAATGACTGGACAAGAGAGTTGTATTTATTTACTTTATTTATTTACAAGATTTTTTTTAGCCGCGCCATTACCAGTGGTCTCTGAGCGGCGTGCAACAACATTAAAACTTTAAAAACATTAGAACCATTAAAAATAGGCAATATTATAATAATATCCTATATTAAAAACAATCATTAAAGCATTAATATTAATAAATCCTGCTGCTCATACGGCCAGCTAAAGAATGCTATTTAATTAAAATGCTGGCTAAACAGGAAGGTCTTTGCCTGGAGCCGAAAAGCCAAAAGTGTGGAGTCAGGCAGACCTCTATAGGAAAGGCATTCCAAAGTTGGGGGGCAACAGCTGAGAAGGCCCTATTTCGACATACCATCTCCCTCACCTCTTTCAGGGATGGCATTTTCAGAAGGGCCTCCTGGCTTGATCTTAGAGGATGGCCAGGCTCGTATGGAAGAAGGCAGTCCTTGGTAAGGGCAAAGTTGATATATTCTATACAGCTGTAAGAAGGCACCCCTGGACCCCGAGTCCACCTGGGCTTCCAAGGTCAGACCCGGATCAAGGAGCTCCCCCAAGCTCTGGACAATGGGGTCAAAGATAAACCCACCAGATCTGGACCACCATGCCCCCCTGTCCTGTTGAGAATACTAGGTCAAGTGTATGGCCTTTCTCATGAGTCGGGCTGATGACATGTTGAGACAGCCCCATGGTTGTCATGGCGGCCATGAAGTCTTGAGCCACCCCTGTTAAGGTGGCCTCGGCATGGAGGTTGAGGTCCCCCAGTACCAAAAGTCTGGGGGTTCCTCACCACCACCAGGTCCGAGATCCCCTCTGTTGAGTTCAGTTGGGCCGATTCCGTAGCTCCTGCTGCTGTAGCAAAAACGTCTCTTGAAATTTCCAAACGTCTCCTCGCTGGTTGCGCTTGAATGCCTCCCCTTCTCCGGGCCCAGACTGGACACTTCTTACATGGTTAGGTGCAAACAACTACGGTCTTTCTTTTGCCCCTGTTCCCCATCCCTCTTCACCCCCGCCCCAATATTGTGGTTCGTTCGTCACCTGGCAAAAATAGCAGTAGAAGATTCCAGGAAGGAGTGGACGGTCATACAGAGGGGCTCTGTAATGATGCTATTCCTAGTTCCCTGTTCCCTTGTATCCTCTCTGTAGCTTTCCAGTTACTCAGCAGGTCTATCCAGAGAAGGGGGTGTGTGGAAAAGAAGAGGGAGGTGGGGAAGAAGAGCCTTGAATACGACCAAACAACATGGGCTTCGGAATCTTGGGTGGGCGTGCGTATGTGCTACCTTGCTACTTTTCCCAGCCTCCACCCTTCGCAACCCAGAGGGTGACGATCCTGGAAGACTTGGGTGGACAGAAGGGCAGATGGGCTGACAGATGGATGCATGGGCTTTGTAGTCCCCCAAGGGCCAACCCAACAAATGGCAGTGGGATCAGCTAAGATCAAAACAGTCCCTAGGAAACCAGAAATATAAGGCAAACTAAAAACACAAGTGAAAACAGTATCGAAGCTCAGTTTTTGGACTCCAGACTCCAGCATGCATCCTCTGATAGCATGGTTCAAATATAGAATTGCCAAGTCTTACATTTTGACCTTGAAATCTGGGCTTTTTTTTTTTACCTTGAGTCCCTATTCCATTTGGGGTCTCAAATAGCAGAGAATGGGATGACGTCAGCTGGCCATCTTAGATTACGGGGTTGTCTCTTAGGATTTCAGGTCATCCAATTTAGACATGCTCAGAAGCAGCCTTGTCTTTCCTCTTCCCTTACACACTGTCGAGATGATATGACTGGAATCCACTCTGTGGCCTTTGCATTAATCACCGAGGCTCTGCAGCGACTCCCTTTTACACATGCAGATGTTTGACCCTGTTGCAGAATCCCTTGGGTCACAGGGTTTGGTCCTGAAATCTCAGATAAACAATGGGATGCTGTTAAAAAAATCGATTAAATCAGCCACCGATCTGATTCAAAGCTAATTCCAGTGGAAAGCAAGTGCAACCCCCCACACCCCCATCATTGTACATTTCTACTCAGAGGAGGGAAGAAATTTGGCTCCTCAGCCTGCTGACGTCACAGCTCCAGAGCTGAAGGAAAATGAGATTAAGTTGAAAGAGTACACTTTTTAAACACTCCCCCCCCCCCCCCCCCCCCAGCTCCAGAGCTGAAGGAAAATGAGATTAAGTTGAAAGAGTACACTTTTTAAACACTCCCCCCTCACTTGCAAACAT